ATATGAAATATGGTGATATTTTGTTATTTATTTTCTTCGTCTTGACCACAACTAACATATTGTTTGTCATCGCTCTTTTTGTATATGAGAGCGTAATGTTTTATTAGAGACACCAAATGTGAACGTATCGAAACTAGCATGTCATACTAAATGTATTGGGAACAAATAATGGTTCAAATTGACTCGTATGTGATACTAAAAGATTAATATCATGCTTGCGGCGCGTAAGTATAAATAAATAAAATAAACAAACAAATGGTAAGTGTAAATTATTCTATAGTATATAAAAACTTACAAAGGTGAAGTGCGCCTGCGCAATACGTTGAGCGGTGCACTAATCCCAGGTGAGCGTGCGCAAAAAAAAAACAACCAACCGTGATGTGTGTATACACGAGAGAGAAAAAAAAAGAGAGAGAGAGAGCATAGCCCTTTCATATTATTCATACACCCCCTGCCAGTACTTTAAAAGGTCTTATCGACAGGAGCGGGGTGTCATTGAAAGGGGCGTCACTGGACTTGTAGTAAGGAGGAAGCAGACCAGCTACATATGGTGTAGCTTCAATTTTAGGTCCGTGTTTCAATAGTTATGAGTTATAGACTTACTAACTCGGCATGTGATTTTAAGGGTTTCACTCCACTACTCACCAAATGTGCAAATCTAGAATGAATCTTCTCCTAGAAACTGAATCCATACAGACCATACGTTTTTATTTTCTGCAAGTGTTGATGAGTGAAGCCAGGCTCTTAGGGTCACTGCACGCAAGTAAGAAAAGGAAAAAAAAAAAAACGAGACAAGTACTGTATGTGCAAGACTATAATGAATCTTCTCATAGAAATTGGAATCATACAAGTCATCCGTTTTTCTTTTTGCAAGTGTTGATGAGTGTAGCGTGGTCCTTATGGCCACTGCACGTACGAGAAGGAAAAAAAAAAAAAATGAGACAACTACTGGAGTGTTTATGGTATGTTCGCAACCCAATACTTTTGGAACAGACCTGGATCCGAATCTGGGATATATTGCTGGCCTACTCGTGGTCTTCCAGCAGTCCAATGCACATCCTTCGAAAAACATGGAAACCCTGCTAATTACTTGCACGGTACTTTTTAGAAAGGGTAATACAATCAATGAGTAGTACGACGAGGCCCCAAAATATTATCTTTTTGTGCACTTACCCTTTTTAAAAGGGAGGGACACTTATGGGTATGACGACATACCCTTTCTGATTTTTTTATTTAGTATAATTTTTTAAACGCGTCGCATCACGAACGCGCGCATGTGTGCGCATGTGCGGTGCAATGCACGTGCATAACTTGCGCGAATGTGATGCACCGCAACTATGGTTAATATATTATTTAATTTTTATTTTATTTTATATTGTTCTTGTTTCTATGAACATGTTGCCATCCAATACTTGCATGACACACGCGATATTTCAAATAATTTTAAGATATTTACAAAATAATATTTTTGTTAAACCACTAGTACCTTTGGCGCGTTGAAAAATAGCGGGCCTCCGGTGGGCCACCGACCTTTTCGGAGGCCGAAACGAAACGACGACCGTCGATCACAATTATCAATGGAAGTCGTCGTCGGACCCGACCTCCGCATCTTTAAGAGTTTGGGAAAACAGTCAGTTTTTTTAATTTTCCCACACGAAAAATATACTAGTGGTTAAAAAAACTGGATAACATACTTAGTATACAAATAATAAATAATGGTCTCAGTACAGTCAAACGAGATAAATAAACAAGGAATATCACATTTCCATAACGATACCTACAATATAAATGTCACCTCACTTCTAATTTTTTTTTTTTCATGTCGCAAAGAGGTTGAGCATTGATCACCGAATAGACTCGACAATTAGCATTCTATGTATTGGTGGTATAAACTTGAAAACTAATACTGTGTTAAGTCAAATTTGTATAATAATGATGATATATAAGTATATAAATAAAAATATTATTTTTATTTTTATTTTTCTTGAGATGTTAGATGGTGTCAATGCACCCTGTAGACTTGAAATCAACAAAAAAAATGAAGTTCCGAGACCGATTATATATATATATATAGATAGAGAGAGAGAGAGAGAGAGTGTGTGGCTTAAAACACCCTGCCCACTATTTTTTAACGACTATCCAATTTATTTATCGATTGGATATAGCCTCTGGATAATTAAAGGGGGAAAAAATACAAAAATGTATGGGTGCGTTTGTGTTCTGTTTGTGTCAGTGTGTGTGTGTGTGTGTGTGTGTGTGTGTGTGTGTGTGTGTGTGTGTGTGTGTGTGTGTTTAATGCACTATTTGTGTTCCTTCTGATCATACATTCCATGGCATATTTATATTTCTGTGTGTTTTTTTTTTTTTTTTTTTTTTTTTTTTTTTTTTTTTTTTTTTTTTTTTTTTTTTTTTTTTCTTATTCGTATTTTAATAGGAATTTAGGGTTGTCGTTCAAACGAATATTGCTTGTTTAGCAGTGCTACATAGTTTTATTTTTTAATATAAATATATGACGATATATATATATATATATTTTTTTTTTCCTTTCCTCCGTACGTTGTATGTAAAAAATGCACATAACTATATAGGGTTACCGACATAAAACATACGTACGTTATATATGGAAAGGCCCCATATGTGTACGAGCAACAACATAGATATCAGGCATGAGCATAGTTTTTGATTACGAGACATTAATTTCCAGACGTATATTTCACTTGGTTGCGCACCACAACTTGTAAAGGGAAAAAAAAAAAAAAAAAAAAGATAACAAAAAGCAAAGGTGCACATGTTCACATATATGAATTTGTGAGGATAAAAAAAATAATTAGTAATGCGTCCATTTAAACTGTTTGTAAGAAACCATTACAAATAAAAATACAAATAAAGCTACATATAATGTCAAAAAAATTAAAATAAGGCCTCAACGATACATATCACTCTTCTAGTGTACGGCTAGCGGGTTTCGAACCCACAAGGCGCGAAGCGCTGCCACATCCTAAGTGTGATGAGTAAACCAATTTGGCCATAGCCGTTTCTTTTCGGAATATGTATACAAGTTAGTTGCATGAAATAAGTATAAGCATGTTTACCCCACTTCGTTGCTTTACGCGTATATCAGGATTCATGTGCACTCACACACTCATACAAAAAACGAATAATAATAATAATAAAAAGAGAAGAGCATGAGGATAAGCATGAGGAAGAGGAGGGCGACGATGAGTAAAGTAGGGAGACAAAGGAGAAGGAAGACAGAAAGAAGGAAGAGGACGTGGAGGAGGAGGGTGCATGGACAGGGAGAAAGAAGAATTGGGCGTAAAGTTGGTATACGTTGGGGTCAATAGGCACATATACGAAGAAGTAGAAGAAAAGGGAGGAACCAGAGTGCAAGTAAATCAAGGAGACAATGAAGTGGAGAAAGACGAGGACGTGGAGGAGGGTGCGTGGAAAAGGAGAAGGACGGGGGGGGCATGGAGTTGACCTGTGCTGGAGGAGATGATAACTGCAGGCAGTTGGAGAAGATGCCCCTGTACTGGGTAAAACCACTAAATGGAGTTTTGTTCGCAGCCCGTCAGGGTTGCGTTTCCCCCCCCTGAGACATTTTCGTCGTCGTTCGTTATACCGGTCGTTCATTCGGGCCCACTGGTCGTTCAAAGGCTGGTAAAATGAAAGGCACTGACATTTAGGGGGGGGAGCGCAGTTCAAGCAAATGCAGGACCGGTATTTGCCCGTGGCATTTTTCTGGGAACCGGTAGGTGGCCGTGGTCTAAAATATTTTGAAACGGCGTGGGGGCTGCAGGTCCTTGAAATTCAAATATGAAACGGCATGGACCAAGGCCTACAGCCTCATGCCCAGCCCACCGGCTTTGGCCCAATCGGCCTGGATGATTTTGTCTGTATCTGGAAGCAGTTCTGAGCCAGATTCAGAAACAGAGATGTTCTCTCTCTCTCTCTCTCACACACACACACACACACACACACACACACACACACATGCACACACACAGGGCCTCGCCACAGCCAAAACGAAACAAACTACGGGCTGCGCACCCATGCCCTCACGGTAAGTCAATGGGTGTGATCGTTGAACAGCCAGCCCACAGTGCAAAGCTGCACAGCCTCCTGGGAGGGTGCCACAAAGAGCATTCTGGGTCAGGAGGGCATTCGTGGAATACCCAAACTTCGAAGGGCACCCCAGGACGTAGAAATACCCCAATCTTTGAGAGGCACCTCACCACTTTGCCTATTGCGAAATCTAATCTGGCCCACACACCTGCCAGAATCGAGTGGAGTTCAATCGCACTGCAAATCCAGCCATTCTCCATCTTCTTGATGGCCCCCCAGTCACGTCTTTGGAGCTTACGTCACCTATATATCGTTCGTTGTTTGGCAAAGGAAGGGAACAGGAGAAAGGTCCCCTCTGTCCAGGGCATTGCACAAGAAAAAGGACAGGAAACTACCAAGGAGAACGGCTAATGGGACCCCCTTGAAAGCGTGTTTTTGGGGGAAACGAAAAGGAAGGGACCACCTATGACGAGGGCGAACACAGCGAATGACAAAAGGGACCACCGCCTACCGGACCTACGGGAACCCGCTTGTAGCCTTGGAGAACGAAAGAGCAAGGGCACGACTCAACAAGCGCGCCAGATTGCCGGATCGGATTCGAATTCGCCACGTAGTTCATCGACATTTTGGAATTTTGGAATTTTGGACCTGGCGCCACTACTCTCCTCGACATGCACAAAGGCAAAAATCATGGCGGTGCATGTTTCCATGTTCTAGCAAAAGATTCACTCTCGTTTTGCTCATTTCGAGAGTAGTGCGGCGAGGCCCTTTTCCATCCATGGTGGATGGGATGTCTGACGAGGTCCTCTGGCCTCAGTCCATCCGCAGAGGAGGGTGAATCTCCCGTGCGCTTGTCTCTCCTTCTCCTTTCCCTCGAGTCAATGTTTTGTGTCCGCTCTCGCGCTCACGGGCGAGTGTTGGACGGCAAAGGCGGGCTAGAATTCCCAAAAGCCAGCACGAGATATTGGGCGCTCTGTGAGCGCGAGAGGACGGTGGTGGGGTGGAAGAGGGAGCGGGGCGGCAAAGAGGACTGCTGGTGGGAGGTAGAAGGAAGGAAGGAGGCGAAGGGAAAAGTGGTGGGTAAACGAGCGGGAGCAGGCACTGACCACAGACAGATTGGGGGAAATCTCACTGCGTGACGAGGTTTCGTGCGCGCGCGTGCGTGCGCTTCGCATGTATGTATATTGACCCTGTCGTACTGTGGTGAAACAGTCGCATCACAGTCGCATCACACTGGTAGAGAGAGTTTGGTCACAGTCGCATCAAACAACACTGATAGAGAGAGTTTGGTTGGAGAGGAAGAAGGGTGGAGGTAGGAGAGTAGAGTAGTGGGAAAGCCAGAAGGAACTGAGGTTGGTAGGAGAGAAGAGACTTGATCTTCTTCTCACTCGTATTCGCGCGACAGATCCGAGCGAGCGCGCGCGCGCGCGCGCGGCGTGGAAGGCCGTCCACGGGCGCTGCAATCGTGCGTCTGCGCGCGCTCTCCCCCCCCYCCCCCGCCCCGATACACACAGAGACACACACACACACACACACACACACACAGAGAGAGAGAGAGAGAGAGAGAGAGAGAGAGAGAGAGAGAGAGAGAGAGAGAGAGAGAGAGAGAGAGAGAGAGAGAGAGAGAGTAATCGGCAGCCATGGTTGCGCATCCACTAATCTACAGTTTTGTTGCCCGGGGGACCACTGTCCTAGCGGAATTCACGGCATACACTGGAAACTTCAGTCAACTAGCCGTACAATGTCTGGAGAAACTTCCGCCGAACAACAACAAATTCACCTATTCATGCGATCGCCATACATTCAATTTCCTGGTTGAGGATGGGTTCGGTACGTTATCCCCTTGCTTTGCTTCCCTTTGCTTGCTCTCTCTCTCTCTCTCTCTCTGTCTCTGTGTGCCCCCCAGTTCTCCCCCTCAATTTCTCAGGATCACTTTCCTTCTTACGAGCAGCTTTGCTTCACTTTCTCTCTTCTCCCTAACCAAAGAAACTTCATCTTCCATTCTCCCCCCCGCTCTCGACAGTGTCTCTTCCCTAGTCTCCCCCACTTTTTCACTTTTCCCCGCCCACCTTCTCTTCACCTCTCGTTCCCCTCCTCTTCCCACCTCTGCCGTCGCACTGTCGACTCCTTTTTGCTCGCTCTCCCCGTCCATCTGCTACCATCAGCTTCTCGTCCTCATGTTCTTGTCCTGCCTTTGTACCTGTTTTTCCTCGTCGTCTCATCTCCCGCCACGTGTCATTCCTCTGCCTTTCGCGCCATCTCCCGCCCCCTCGCCTCCCCGCCCCCGCGCGCGCTTTCCGCCGCCTTCCCATTCTTCTTTCCCTCTTTCCGATCTCTCCTCCCTACCTCTGCTCCCCTCTTTGCGATCCTTCTACCTCTCCTCCCGTCTGCCTAGCTATCTCATACCTCGTTCCCCTTCGCTCCTCGCCTTAGCCCTCCTCCTTCCTACCCCTCCCCCCCGCTCTCCCCTCCGCTTGTCTTTCTTCCTGCCAGCTCCTCCTCCTCTTGTTCTTTACCCTGCCTTTGTACCTGGTCCTGCTATCGCACTCTCCTCTCCCGCCACGTGCCATCCCTGTCTCTTTCTCTGATCAGCGACCGTCGACTCTATCGCGGGTTGTTGATAGCTGTAGGGCAAGCTGCGTCTTCTCAATGATGATCTGACAAATGGTTAAGATCTATTGGTCCTCCTTCATGTGACTGTCCGCTTCAAATGACAATGGGAGCGGCCGGTCGTATCTGAAATGACCCAAGGAGCCGGGGGGGGTATTACAGTAAGTTATATATTGCAATCGTTCGTTGAATCTGCGCTGGAGTTGTATCCAATCTATTGTCTTTGACTATCTAATTGATACAATCTACCGATTGTCTATAACTATCTATTTGACACAATCTACCTATTGTCTATAACTATCTATTTGATACAATCTACCTATTGTTTAGAACTATCTATTTGATACAATCTACCTAATGTCTATAACTATCTTCTATTTGATACAATCTACCTAATGTCTATAACTATCTATTGATACAATCTATTGTCTATAACTATCTATTGATACAATCTATTGTCTGGAATTGTTGTCGTCAATACAATCCATCTATTGTTTATTTAGTTGTGGTCACCAATACAGTCTATCTATTGTCTATTCCGTATCTGTAATCTCTCGGTTTCGCCGATAGGGGGAGATTTTGAAGTGAAGTCAAAAGTTGATCATACAAGTACAAAGATGTGGCTTGTGTGCATTAAGAATCAGGGTGGATTATGTTCGGGGAAAGACCGTAGTGATGAGGAAGGCCCGTTTATGCTTAGTAAATAAAGGGGACAACGACGAGCCCGCTCAGGATGCACCTGCGTATCTGTACGTCCACGTGCAGATTACGCACTTGTGCATCTTCTTGGGCAGGTGCATTTTGAACGAGAGGGCTTGTTATTGGGCTTCCAGATAGGTTAATAGGGTTGGTTTTGTGGGGGGGCGGGGGGCTCTCCTCGCGTTCGTCAGCATGTGAGGATCCGGCCAGCAAATTAAAGGACAAGAGGGGGGGGGGCGGAGGGGGGMCGATAAGAAAGGGYAGTGKTGAGATTACAAATTTTCCAATCAAGCTATGATGTGGAAAAGGAGGAGGGGGGGGGGGGGAGAATGGGGTTGTGGAGGTGACGAAAGAAACGTAGAATTTCTTTTTGATTATCACATGCGAATGTGAGATAAGGCTTCGCCCCACCACTCATGACATGCACGAAGGACAAATCATGGCGGTGTACATTTCCGTGTTCTAGCGGAAGATTCACTCTCATTTTTGCACATTTGGAGAATAGTGGAGCGAGGCCTGTAATATCGTAGAGTATTAAATAGAGATTAACGTATCTTATGTTTTGTATTTATTTACCGTATATATAATACTCGGTAGTATGTATGCGCAAATTGATGGTCTTTTTTTTTTTTTTTTTTTAAATATATTCTGTCTAGTTTTGTTGTTGGTAAAGCTCTAACAATGTAGTTCTTGAAAATTATTTTTTTATTTCTAGTCTTTGAAAATGATTTTCTCTAGTTTTGAGATTTACGTTCATCGAATCCGGTCCGATTTACGTGTGCCTGTGTGGTCCGTCGTTTTTATGATTTTACCGTCTTTTTTTCCCCCGAACACAACGCACTCTCGTTAGGACTGCATCTTCCTGTAAAGGCGGTTTGTATACATTTCAGAATCACTCTCGTTAGGACTGCATCTTCCCTTAAAGGCGGTTTGTATACATTTCAGAATCAGGGTGGTTATGTTTGGGGGAAGACGGTAGTTATGGACCTTATGGTGTATTAAGTGATACGTTCGTTAAACAACCAACACTTTACACGAGCCTCTTTTTGTCGAAGTGGGAAACGATCTGCGCCCCGAGCTTTGTTAAAGCGCCAGCGCGACTTTTTTTTTTCTTTTCTTTTTTTCTGGCTGCCGTTGCGTGCCATTTCCATTTTCGTCCGGTGACGGCCGGGGGCAGGGCCCACTAGCACCGAGGGAGGATGGGATGTAACACATGAATCTGGACGTGTTTGTGGAGAGGTGCATAAAGTTGCTTTTGGTCTTCTTTTCTGCATCTGTGTGAAACACGTCCAGATTCATGCGCTTCATCCAATCCTTTTTGCTAGTGATACCTCGCCCCCGGCCTTCGACGAATGCGTTATATAGGTTATATACTGCATTCTTAGGAGGCTTTTAGTTCTTGAATGGGAGAGGTAGGGGTGGTGTAAAGGAAAAGGAAGGAATTGTGGCGATCTGGCATTATGAAAGAGAGAGGTCATCTTCTTCTTGTTTTTTTTTTTTTTTTTTTTTTTTAACGAGGACGAGAGCGTGTGTAGGCTTTGCGTAATATTTCCGGCGCGTATCTCAAACACTTCATGTATATCGTTGTAAACGCGTTATACATGTATATGTACAGATCACGCATTCTCTGTATGTTTGTGTTTGTGTGTGTGTGTGTGTGTGTTTGGTCTTTTTCGCCTTCTCCATCCTTCTTCCCGACTTTTATTTTTTTTGTTGTAGTGCTTTTCTTTTTTAAAATTATTGTTAAGTATTTAGTTCGACACTCCCGCCTTCGTTTTGCTGGCCACCTGTTCTCCCCTCCGTCTCTTTTTCTTGGCCTCGACTTGCTCTACTGCTGCAACTCCCTTTCTTCCCTCCCCCCTCCTTACCCTCCCCCTCGTTCGCCTTTTGTTTTTTTCTTCCGCTCCCTCGCTTCCGTTTGCCTTTCTTTCTATTTGCCCTTTTTTTTCAATCTTGGCGCTTTTTTTTCGTTTGTACGACGACCTTATTACTTTTCATATTCTCTTTTTGGCCTTAACTTTTCACCTGCGCAATTTTTGGCCAATTTTCACCCCTTCCTCAGGGCGTACTCACAGTATAAAGGACTTTCTTGACATAGTTCTGGACGTGATTACAGTCAGGTGCATCCTGGTCTGGCCGTAATTGCTGTCAGATGCATTTATAAAGGTGCTATTGTACGAGTATCGCCTCAGCGGCTCGTTTCGGTCTGCCTTTGCATGTTTTTTTAAGATTTTGTTTTTTGTGTATAGCTTCGTCTGCTTCCTTTCTCCCGGCGTAGCTTTCTTTCTCTCCTCAGCCTTTTCCGTTACTCTCCGTTAGCCTCCGTTATTTTTCTTTTTCCCTCTTCCTCGTTCAATTCTCCTCTCTCTCGGCTGCGCCTCCTTGTCCCTCCCCGTTCGGTCGCATGTGCACTGTATTTGGCTTTCCGTTACTCTCCGTTAGCCTCCGTTATTTTTCTTTTTCCCTCTTCCTCGTTCAATTCTCCTCTCTCTCGGCTGCGCCTCCTTGTCCCTCCCCGTTCGATCGCATCTGCAGTGTACTTTCCTTTCCGTTACTCTCCGTTAGCCTCCGTTATCTTTCTTTTTCCCTTCTCCTCTCTCTCGGCTGCGCCTCCTTGTCCCTCCCCGTTTGGTCGCATGTGCACTGTATTTGGCTTTCCGTTACTCTCCGTTAGCCTCCGTTATCTTTCTTTTCCCTCCTCGTTCGACTCTCCTCTCTCTCCGTCTGCCCCTCCTCGTCCCCCTCCCCGATTGATGACATCTGTACTGAAATTTGCTTTCCAATGAGGTGATAATGGCCAAAATCCTTCATGTTAATTTACTCTTGACTTTCACTCAAGGTGACAGGATTCGAACGTATGACCCTCTCTCTGTGCCCAAAACAGAGTCAATTACATATATACCCCCCCCGATTGTGTTTGATAGATTCAGATATTTTACTAATAAGCAAAATTGCAAAAAAGAATTAATTATCCGTACTACTACCGTAGTAATCATTTCAATCTTCACGTAGCAGACTTCTCTCTCCCCTTCTCCTATTCTCCCACCGTTTTCCTTCTCCTCCTTCACGTTATACTGTATTATTCGGCGTCGTCTTCTTTTTCCAGTTTGTTCACCTTTCATGCTTTTTCCTGCTACACCTTTTTTCTCCTCCTCCTTCACCTGCTTCCAAAACCGTAGGGGAAAAAAAAAAGAAAAAAAAAAACGTAGGGTAAGGGGTCCGAATCCCTCTTTATTTATTTTCAATTCAATAATATATAACTTCACCTCCTCTTCGTCTTGTTTGTTATCGGTGTGCATTTTCTTTTTCTCGTGCGGGTGTGGTCAGGGTGGTGGGTCGTGGCCTTGGCACACTCTCGTCTTCACGGGAATAAAACACGAGAAGATCGGTATCGCCGAATCTAGACCGAAAGTTGGCCCAAATACAGCTATAATCACCGTGTGTTCTATTCGGGGGAAGACGTAATTGGCAAGTTGTGTCTTGCGCTATTTTCTACGATCTTTGCGTGCCCAACACTTATC